ACTGTGTCCCGAAAGCAACTTTCGGGACACAGTCTGATGTCCCGAGGCAAAAACACCTGGCGGGTGTTTTTCCCACGGCACACCTTACACTATGTCACGGCACACTAGTGTGCCGCGGCACAGTGGTTGAAAAACACTGCTGTAAGTGATAGTGTCCGCTGCTCAGGTGCATCAGAAGAATCAGAAACTATTTGATTCTTTCTAGCCTGCCACATTGCACTTTGGTTGAAGCATAAATTACAAATTATGTCCTTCAGGGAAATGCTGAAAGGAGTCACACTTTTCTCCTTCTAAGGAGATTATAGTTTATTGTGATGTAGAGAATAAGAGCCTAAAGGGATACTTAGCTTGACAGTGCTGTGGGTGGCAATGCAAAAGGAAGCAGCAAGTAGATATGTCATTAAGTCCCTTCTGAATCATTTTAGTAATTTTGATCAGTTTTACACCCAAACGTGATGCAACTACAATTAAACTGATATGCAGGATGTACAATGGCAAGTTGTACAAACAGCCTATCTCCAATGCATGGCATCAGTGTAGAGTCCTGAGTACAGAAAATAAACTTTGAGTATGATTCTGTGTTATTTTAATACATATATGAAATTTCAATATAGCAAAAAATAATTTTATTGACAGGGTTACTGCCACTGCTTCCAGTGTGGGAGCTGCTGGAATTCCAGCTGGAGGAGTTTTAACCATAGCTATTATCTTGGAGGCTATTGGACTTCCCACAAATGACATCTCTCTCATATTGGCTGTGGACTGGATTGTGTGAGTATACACAACATGTGTGTATGTTAACTCTTTGGATATAGTGGCTGTCAAAGTATCAAGAGTCTTAATAACCCCTTGTAGGGGCAACCTTTAAAAAGTACTTTCATCCAGAAGGGAGCAGTTGCAAACCACACAGCAGAATTTGTTGATTACTGCTGAAGGGAGTAAGAAACTCACTGCTCTAAATTTTTGATTTGCATCTTTTTCCATTCCGATCACAAAAGCTGTCTGAAGTTGAGAGGGGGATGAGCAGAGGAAATTAGCTATTAAAAACTATGTATCTCATGATACAAAAATTACATCCTTTTTCTTGGGGTGGGGAGATTTTACAGTGGTTTTTTTTTTGTTATTGCATGAGATGAAAGAGAGGCTGCATTTCAAGACACAAGTATTTTTTATTTGGGCTAAGCCATAACTGCTGTAAAAGTTACATTCAATTAAATGCAAGGCTCCACCACAAAACCGTGATGCCCTTATCTGCGCTGCCATAAGTGCGGAGGCAAATCCGTGGCATCCGAAGCGCTAAGAAAAAAATGACCCTACCGCCGCGACAACAGCGCGGTGACAGAAGGGCGTTCTACATGCTT